GGTGAGCGAGCGAGTGGGTGAGCGAGCGAGTGGTTGGGTGAGCGAGTGGTGGGGTGAGTGAGTGGGTGAGCGAGTGGGTGAGCGAGTGGGTGAGCGAGCGGGTGAGCGAGTGACTGAGTGACTGAGTGGGTGAGCGAGTGGGTGAGCGAGTGGGGGAGTGGGTGAGTGAGCGAGTGGGTGAGCGAGTGGGTGAGCGAGCGGGTGAGCGAGTGGGTGAGCGAGTGGGTGAGCGAACGGGTGAGCGAGTGGGTGAGCGAGTGGGTGAGCGAGTGGGTGAGCGAGTGAGTGACTGAGTGACTGAGTGGTTGGGTGAGCGAGCGGGTGAGCGAGTGGGCGAGCGAGCGAGCGGGTGAGCGAGTGGGTGAGCGAGTGGGTGAGCGAGTGGGTGAGCGAGTGGGTGAGTGAGTGGGTGAGTGAGTGGGTGAGCGAGTGGGTGAGCGAGTGGGTGAGCGAGTGGTGGGGTGAGTGAGAGACTGAGTGACTGAATGACTGAGCGAGTGGGTGAGTGAGTGAGTGGGTGAGTGAGTGGGTGAGTGAGTGGGTGAGCGAGTGGGTGAGCGAGCGGGTGAGCGAGTGAGTGGGTGAGTGAGTGGGTGAGCGAGTGGGTGAGCGAGCGGGTGAGCGAGTGAGCGAGTGGGTGAGCGAGCGGGTGAGCGAGTGGGTGAGCGAGTGAGCGAGTGGGTGAGCGAGTGGGTGAGCGAGCGGGTGAGCGAGTGAGCGAGTGGGTGAGCGAGCGGGTGAGCGAGCGGGTGAGCGAGTGGGTGAGAGAGTGGGTGAGTGAGCGAGTGGGTGAGCGAGTGAGTGAGCGAGTGGGTGAGCGAGCGGGTGAGCGAGTGAGTGGGTGAGCGAGTGGGTGAGTGAGCAAGTGGGTGAGCGAATGGGTGAGCGAGTGGGTGAGTGAGTGGGTGAGTGACTGAGCGAGTGGGTGAGCGAGTGGGTGAGCGAGTGGGTGAGCGAGCGGGTGAGCGAGTGGGTGAGCGAGTGGGTGAGCGAGCGAGTGGGTGAGCGAATGGGTGAGCGAGTGGGTGAGTGAGTGGGTGAGTGACTGAGCGAGTGGGTGAGCGAGTGGGTGAGCGAGTGGGTGAGCGAGCGGGTGAGCGAGCGGGTGAGCGAGCGGGTGAGCGAGTGGGTGAGCGAGTGGGTGAGCGAGTGGGTGAGCGAGTGGTGGGGTGAGTGATAGACTGAGTGACTGAATGACTGAGCAAGTGGGTGAGTGAGCGAGTGGGTGAGTGAGTGGGTGAGCGAGTGGGTGAGCGAGTGGGTGAGTGAGCGAGCGGGTGAGCAAGCGAGTGGGTGAGTGAGTGACTGAATGACTGAGTGAGTGGGTGAGCGAGTGGGTGAGCGAGTGGGTGCGAGAGTGGTGGGGTGAGTGAGTGACTGAGTGGGTGAGCGAGTGACTGAGCGAGTGGGTGAGCGAGTGGGTGAGCGAGCGGGTGAGCGAGCGAGTGGGTGAGCGAGTGGGTGAGCGAGTGGGTGAGCGAGTGGGTGAGCGAGTGGGTGAGCGAGTGAGCGAGTGGTGGGGTGAGCGAGCGAGTGGGTGAGCGAGTGGGTGAGCGAGTGGGTGAGCGAGTGGGTGAGCGGGTGAGCGAGTGGGTGAGCGAGCGGGTGAGCGAGTGGGTGAGCGAGTGGGTGAGCGAGTGGGTGAGCGAGTGGGTGAGCGAGCGGGTGAGCGAGTGGGTGAGTGGATGAGCGAGTGGGTGAGTGAGTGGGTGAGTGGGTGGGTGAGCGAGTGGGTGAGCGAGTGGGTGAGCGAGTGGGTGAGCGAGCGGGTGAGCGAGTGACTGAGTGACTGAGCGAGTGGGTGAGCGAGTGGGTGAGCGAGTGGGTGAGCGAGTGGGTGAGCGAGCGGGTGAGCGAGCGGGTGAGCGAGTGACTGAGCGAGTGGGTGAGCGAGCGGGTGAGCGAGCGGGTGAGCGAGTGGGTGAGCGAGTGGGTGAGCGAGTGGGTGAGCGAGTGGGTGAGCGAGTGGGTGAGTGACTGAGTGAGTGGGTGAGTGAGTGACTGAGTGAGTGACTGAGTGAGTGGGTGAGCGAGTGGTTGGGTGAGCGAGTGGTTGGGTGAGCGAGTGGGTGAGCGAGTGGGTGAGTGAGTGACTGAATGACTGAGTGAGTGGGTGAGTGAGTGATTAAGTGAGTGAGTGAGTGGGTGAGTGAGTGAGTGAGTGATTAAGTGAGTGAGCGAGTGGGTGAGCGAGTGGGTGAGCGAGTGGGTGAGCGAGTGAGTGAGTGGGTGAGCGAGTGGGTGAGCGAGTGGGTGAGCGAGTCGGTGAGTGACTGAGTGGGTGAGCGAGTGGGTGAGCGAGTGGGTGAGCGAGTGGGTGAGCGAGCGGGTGAGCGAGTGGGTGAGCGAGTGGGTGAGCGAGTGGTGGGGTGAGTGAGAGACTGAGTGACTGAATGACTGAGCGAGTGGGTGAGTGAGCGAGTGGGTGAGTGAGTGGGTGAGCGAGTGGGTGAGCGAGTGGGTGAGTGAGCGAGCGGGTGAGCAAGCGAGTGGGTGAGTGAGTGACTGAATGACTGAGTGAGTGGGTGAGCGAGTGGGTGAGCGAGTGGGTGAGCGAGTGGGTGAGCGAGTGGGTGAGCGAGCGGGTGAGCGAGTGAGTGAGCGAGTGAGCGAGTGAGTGACTGAGTGACTGAGTGGGTGAGCGAGTGGGTGAGCGAGTGGGTGAGCGAGTGGGTGAGCGAGCGAGTGAGCGAGTGGGTGAGCGAGTGGGTGAGCGAGTGGGTGAGTGGGTGAGCGAGTGGGTGAGCGAGTGGGTGAGTGGGTGAGCGAGTGGGTGAGCGAGTGGGTGAGCGAGTGACTGAGCGAGTGGGTGAGCGAGCGGGTGAGCGAGCGGGTGAGCGGGTGAGCGAGTGAGTGGGTGAGCGAGTGGGTGAGCGAGTGACTGAGCGAGTGACTGAGCGAGTGGGTGAGCGAGTGGGTGAGCGAGTGACTGAGCGAGTGGGTGAGCGAGCGGGTGAGCGAGCGGGTGAGCGGGTGAGCGAGTGAGTGGGTGAGCGAGTGGGTGAGCGAGTGACTGAGCGAGTGGGTGAGCGAGTGGGTGACTGAGTGGGTGAGCGAGTGGGTGAGCCAGTGGGTGAGCGAGTGAGTGAGCGAGTGGGTGAGCGAGTGGTTGGGTGAGCGAGTGGGTGAGCGAGTGGGTGAGCGAGTGAGTGACTGAGCGGGTGAGCGAGTGGGTGAGCGAGTGGGTGAGTGACTGAGTGACTGAGCGAGCGGGTGAGGGAGTGACTGAGTGAGTGGGTGAGCGAGTGACTGAGTGACTGAGCGAGTGGGTGAGCGAGTGGGTGAGCGAGTGGGTGAGCGAGTGAGTGGGTGAGCGAGTGGGTGAGCGGATGACTGAGTGACTGAGTGAGTGGGTGAGTGAGTGACTGAGTGAGTGGGTGAGCGAGTGAGTGAGTGAGTGACTGAATGACTGAGCGAGTGGGTGAGCGAGTGGTTGGGTGAGCGAGTGGGTAAGCGAGTGGTTGGGTGAGCGAGTGGTTGGGTGAGCGAGTGGTTGGGTGAGCGAGTGGGTGAGCGAGTGGTTGGGTGAGCGAGTGGTTGGGTGAGCGAGTGGTTGGGTGAGCTAGTGGGTGAGCGAGTGGTTGGGTGAGCGAGTGGGTGAGCGAGTGGGTGAGCAAGTGGTTGGGTGAGCGAGTGGGTGAGCGAGTGGTTGGGTGAGCGAGTGGATGAGTGAGTGGGTGAGTGAGTGACTGAGTGAGTGGGTGAGTGAGTGGGTGAGCGAGTGGGTGAGCGAGTGAGTGGGCGAGTGACTGAGTGACTGAATGACTGAGCGAGTGGGTGAGCGAGTGAGTGAGCGAGTGAGCGACTGAGTGACTGAGTGGGTGAGCGAGTGGTTGGGTGAGCGAGTGGTTGGGTGAGCGAGTGGTTGGGTGAGCGAGTGGTGGGGTGAGTGAGCGAGTGGGTGAGTGAGTGACTGAGTGACTGAGTGGTTGGGTGAGCGAGTGGGTGAGCGAGCGAGTGGGTGAGCGAGCGAGTGGGTGAGCGAGCGAGTGGGTGAGCGAGTGAGTGGTTGGATGAGCGAGTGGGTGAGCGAGTGGTGGGGTGAGTGAGTGACTGAATGACTGAGCGAGTGGGTGAGCGAGTGGGTGAGCGAGTGGGTGAGCGAGTGGGTGAGCGAGCGGGTGAGCGAGTGGGTGAGCGAGTGGGTGAGCGAGTGGGTGAGCGAGTGACTGAGCGAGTGGGTGAGCGAGTGAGTGAGCGAGTGGGTGAGCGAGTGGTTGGGTGAGCGAGTGGGTGAGCGAGTGGGTGAGTGAGTGAGTGACTGAGCGGGTGAGCGAGTGGGTGAGCGAGTGGGTGAGCGAGTGACTGAGTGACTGAGTGAGTGGGTGAGTGAGTGACTGAGTGAGTGACTGAGTGAGTGGGTGAGCGAGTGGTTGGGTGAGCGAGTGGGTGAGCGAGTGGTTGGGTGAGCGAGTGGGTGAGCGAGTGGGTGAGTGAGTGACTGAATGACTGAGTGAGTGGGTGAGTGAGTGGGTGAGCGAGTGGGTGAGCGAGTGGGTGAGTGAGTGACTGAATGACTGAGTGAGTGACTGAGCGAGTGGGTGAGCGAGTGGGTGAGCGGGTGAGCGAGCGAGTGGGTGAGCGAGTGGGTGAGCGAGCGAGTGAGCGAGTGGGTGAGCGAGTGGGTGAGCGAGCGAGTGAGCGAGTGGGTGAGCGAGTGGGTGAGCGAGTGGGTGAGCGAGTGGGTGAGCGAGTGGGTGAGTGGGTGAGCGAGTGACTGAGCGAGTGGGTGAGCGAGTGGGTGAGCGAGTGACTGAGCGAGTGGGTGAGTGAGTGAGCGAGTGAGCGAGTGAGCGAGTGGGTGAGCGGGTGAGCGAGTGGGCGAGTGGGTGAGCGAGTGACTGAGTGGGTGAGCGAGTGGGTGAGTGGGTGAGCGAGTGACTGAGTGGGTGAGCGGGTGAGCGAGTGGGTGAGCGAGTGGGTGAGTGACTGAGCGAGTGGGTGAGCGAGTGGGTGAGTGAGTGGGTGAGTGAGTGGGTGAGCGAGTGGGTGAGGCTCACCGGCGAGGTAGGCGATGCTCTGCAGGTTCACCTCGAAGCGGTCACAGTTCTGGTGTTTGGCGACAAGGCCCAGCAGCGTGTGCAGGATCCTCACAGTGCGAGCCACCGTGCCTGCACTGGGGTGCCGGTAGCCTGGAGCAACCACAAACACCACAACCACAAACACCACAACCACAACAACCATCACCGTCACAACCACAAACACCACAACCACAACCATCACAACCACAACAACAACAACCACCACAACCATCACAACCACAACCATCACAACCACAACAACCATCACCGTCACAACCATCACAACCACAACCACAAACACCACAACCACAACCATCACAATCACAACCACAAACACCACAACCACAACCATCACAACCACAACAACCATCACCGTCACAACCACAAACACCACAACCACAACCATCACAAACACAACAACCATCACCGTCACAACCACAACCATCACAACCACCATCACAACCACCACAACCACAAACACCACAAACACAACCATCACAACCACAACAACCATCACCGTCACAACCACAACCATCACAACCACAACCACAAACACCACAACCACAACCACAACAACCACAACCACAAACACCACAACCACAAACACCACAACCACAACCATCACAACCACAACAACAAACACCACAACCACAACCATCACAACCACAACAACAAACACCACAATTACAATCACAACAACCACCACCGTCACAACCACCATCACAACCACCATCACAACCACAACCATCACAACCACAAACACCACAATTACAACCATCACAATCACAACAACCACCACCGTCACAACCACCATCACAACCACCATCACAACCACAACCATCACAACCACAACCACAAACACCACAACCACAACCACAAACACCACAACCACAACCATCACAACCACAACCACCATCACAACCACAACCATCACAACCACAACCATCACAACCATCACAAACACCACAACCACAACAACCATCACCGTCACAACCACCATCACAACCACAACCATCACAACCACCACAACCACCATCACAACCACAACCATCACAACCACCACAACCACCATCACAACCACAACCATCACAACCACCACAACCACAACCATCACAACCACAAACACCACAACCACAACCATCACAACCACAAACACCACAACCACAACCATCACAACCACAACCACAAACACCACAACCACAACCATCACAACCACAACCACAACAACCACCACCATCACAACCACAACCACCACAACCACCACCATCACCACAACCACCACAACCACCACCACAACCACCACCACCATCACCACCACCACCACAACCACCACCATCACCACCATCACAACCACAACAACCACCACCACAACCATCACAACCACAAACAACCACCACAACCACCACCATCACAACCACAAACACCACCACAAACACCACCACTACCACTACTACCACCATCACAACCACCATCAAGAACCACCACCATCACAACCACAACCACCATCACAACCATCAGCACCACAACCATCAGCACCACAAACACCACCACAAACACCACCACTACCACAATCACAACCATCACAACCACAACAACAGCAACCACCACCACAACCATCACCACCACAACCATCACAACCACCACCACAACCACCACCACAACCATCACAACCACCACCACAACCACCACAACCACCACCACAACCACCACCACAACCATCACAACCACAACCACAACAACCATCACAACCACAACAACCACCACCACAACCACCACAACCACAACCACCACCACAACCATCACAACCACAACCACAACCACCACCACAACCATCACAACCACCACCACCACAAACACCACCACCACCACCATCACAAACACCACCACCATCACAACCACAACCACCATCACAACCACAACCACCACCACAACCACCACCACCACAACCATCACAACCACCACCATCACAACCACAATCACAACCACAATCACAACCATCACAACCACAACCACAACCACCATCACAACCACCATCACAACCACCACCACAACCATCACAACCACAACCACAACCATCACAACCACCACCACCACCACAACCACCATCAGCACCCCAACCACCATCACAACCACCACCATCACAACCACCACCATCACAACCACCACCATCACAACCACCACAACCACCATCACAACCACAACCACCACCATCACAACCACAACCACCACCATCACAACCACCACCATCACAACCACCACAACCACAACCACCATCACAACCACCATCACATCCACCATAACAACCACAACCACCATCACAACCACCACAACCACAACCACCATCACAACCACCACCACCATCACAACCACAACCACCACCATCACAACCACAACCACCATCACAACCACAACCACCATCACAACCAGCATGACAACCACCACCATCACCACCACAACCACCATCACAACCACAACCACCACGATCACCACCACCACCATCACCACCACCGTCACCATCACCACCACCACCATCACCACCACGATCACCACCATCACCATCACCACCATCACCACCATCACCATCACCACCACAACCACCATCACAACCATCACCACCACAACAACAACCATAAACCACCACAACCACTATTATCACCACCACAACCACCATCACAACCACCACCATCACAACCACCACCATCACAACCACCACCACAACAACCACAAACCACCACAACCACCATCACTACAACCACCAACATCACAACTACCACCACAACAACCACAAACCACCACCACAACTACAATCACTACAACCACCAACATCACCACAACTACCACCACAACAACCACAAACCACCACCACCACAACTACCATCACTACAACCACCAACATCACAACTACCACAACAACAACCATAACCACCACCAAAACCACCACCACAAAGTTCTAGATGCTGATAACGATGATGATGGTGATGATGATTACGATGATGACCACGATGGTGACGATGATGGTGATGATGATGACGATGATGACGGTGACGATGACGATGATGACGATGACGATGACGACGATGACGACGATGATAATGACGATGACGACGATGACGATGATGACGACGATGACGATGATGACGACGATGACCATGATGACGATCACGATGAAGACGATGATGACGATGTAGATGACGACGATGATGATGATGACGATGATGATGACGATCACGATGGTGACGATGACGATGATGACGATGAAGACGATGATGTAGATGATGACGATGATGATGATGACGATGATGATGACGATGATGTAGATGACGACGTGACGTTATGAGGACGATGACGATGATGATGACGATGATGATGATGACTACGATGCTGATGACGATGATGTAGATGATGAGTACGATGCTGATGACGATGATGACGATCACGATGAAGACGATGATAATGACAATGACGATGTAGATGATGATGACGATGATGTAGATGATGAGTACGATGCTGATGACGATGATGACGATCACGATGAAGACGATGATAATGATAATGACGATGTAGATGATGATGACGATGATGTAGATGATGAGTACGATGATGATGACGATGATGACGATCACGATGAAGACGATGATAATGATGATGATGACTACGATGATGACGACGTTATGAGGACGCCACCACCTTTGAGGAGGTGTCCGACGAGGGCGAAGTTGAAGCTGGAGTTGAAGTTGAGCCCCACAAAGTGGTCCATCTGCTTGCAGTGCCAGTCCAGGGGCAAGCGGGTCTCCATAAACACCTCCTCAGGACTCTACACAGTGAGTGACACGGTGAGTGACACAGTGAGTGACTGAGTGAGTGAGTGAGTGACAGGCGGGTCTCCATAAACACCTCCTCAGGACTCTACACAGTGAGTGACACGGTGAGTGACACAGTGAGTGACTTGGTGAGTGAGTGAGTGACAGGCGGGTCTCCATAAACACCTCCTCAGGGCTCTACACAGTGACACAGTGAGTGACACAGTGAGTGACACAGTGAGTGACAGGCGGGTCTCCATAAACACCTCCTCAGGGCTCTACACAGTGAGTGAGTGTCTTGGTGAGTGACTTAGTGAGTGACTTGGTGAGTGACTTGGTGAGTGAGTGAGTGAGTGACAGGCGGGTCTCCATAAACACCTCCTCAGGGCTCTACACACACAGTGAGTGACACGGTGAGTGACTGAGTGACTGAGTGAGTGAGTGAGTGACAGGCGGGTCTCCATATACACCTCCTCAGGACTCTACACAGTGAGTAAGTGACTTAGTGAGTGACTTAGTGAGTGTGTGGGTGAGTGACTGAGTGAGTGAGTGAGTGACAGGCGGGTCTCCATAAACACCTCCTCAGGACTCTACACAGTGAGTGTGGGTGACACGGTGAGTGACTTGGTGAGTAACTTAGTGAGTGAGTGAGGGGCAAACGGGTCTCCATAAACACCTCCTCAGGACTCTACATAGTGAGTGAGTGGGTGACACAGTGGGTGACACGGTGAGTGACTCAGTGAGTGACTGAGTGAGTGACTTGGTGAGTGAGTGAGTGAGGGGCAGGCGGGTCTCCATAAACACCTCCTCAGGACTCTACATACACGGTGAGTGACACAGTGAGTGACTTGGTGAGTGAGTGAGTGAGTGACAGGCGGGTCTCCATAAACACCTCCTCAGGGCTCTACACACAGTGAGTGACACGGTGAGTGAGTGACTTGGTGAGTGACTTGGTGAGTGACTTGGTGAGTGACTGAGTGAGTGACAGGCGGGTCTCCATAAACACCTCCTCAGGGCTCTACACACAGTGAGTGACACGGTGAGTGACACGGTGAGTGACTTGGTGAGTGACTTGGTGAGTGACTGAGTGAGTGACAGGCGGGTCTCCATAAACACCTCCTCAGGGCTCTACACAGTGAGTGACACAGTGAGTGTCTTGGTGAGTGACTTGGTGAGTGACTGAGTGAGTGAGTGACAGGCGGGTCTCCATAAACACCTCCTCAGGGCTCTACACAGTGAGTGACACAGTGAGTGTCTTGGTGAGTGTCTTGGTGAGTGACTTGGTGAGTGAGTGAGTGGGTGAGTGACAGGCGGGTCTCCATAAACACCTCCTCAGGACTCTACACACACAGTGAGTGACACGGTGAGTGACTTGGTGAGTGACTTGGTGAGTGACTTGGTGAGTGAGTGAGTGAGTGACAGGCGGGTCTCCATAAACACCTCCTCAGGACTCTACACACACAGTGAGTGACACGGTGAGTGACTTGGTGAGTGACTTGGTGAGTGACTTGGTGAGTGACTTGGTGAGTGAGTGAGTGAGTGACAGGCGGGTCTCCATAAACACCTCCTCAGGACTCTACACACACAGTGGGTGACTTGGTGAGTGACTTGGTGAGTGAGTGACTGAGTGAGTGAGTGAGTGACAGGCGGGTCTCCATAAACACCTCCTCAGGGCTCTACACAGTGAGTGTGTGGGTGACTTGGTGAGTGACACAGTGAGTGACTCAGTGAGTGACACAGTGAGTGAGTGACAGGCGGGTCTCCATAAACACCTCCTCAGGGCTCTACACACAGTGAGTGACACGGTGAGTGACACAGTGAGTGACTGAGTGAGTGACAGGCGGGTCTCCATAAACACCTCCTCAGGGCTCTACACACAGTGGGTGAGTTAGTGTGTGGGTGACACAGTGGGTGACACAGTGAGTGTCTTGGTGAGTGACTCAGTGAGTGACTTGGTGAGTGAGTGAGTGAGTGACAGGCGGGTCTCCATAAACACCTCCTCAGGGCTCTACACACACAGTGAGTGAGTGTGTGGGTGACACAGTGAGTGACACAGTGAGTGACTTGGTGAGTGACTGAGTGAGTGACACGGTGAGTGAGTGAGTGAGTGACAGGCGGGTCTCCATAAACACCTCCTCAGGGCTCTACACAGTGAGTGAGTGAGTGACTTGGTGAGTGACACAGTGAGTGACTGAGTGAGTGACTTGGTGAGTGACTGGGTGAGTGAGGGGCAGGCGGGTCTCCATAAACACCTCCTCAGGGCTCTACACAGTGAGTGTGTGACACAGTGAGTGACTGAATGAGTGACTTGGTGAGTGACTTGGTGAGTGAGTGACAGGCGGGTCTCCATAAACACCTCCTCAGGGCTCTACACACAGTGGGTGAGTTAGTGTGTGGGTGACACAGTGGGTGACACAGTGAGTGTCTTGGTGAGTGACTCAGTGAGTGACTTGGTGAGTGAGTGAGTGAGTGACAGGCGGGTCTCCATAAACACCTCCTCAGGGCTCTACACAGTGAGTGACACGGTGAGTGTCTTGGTGAGTGAGTGAGTGACTTGGTGAGTGAGTGAGTGAGGGGCAGGCGGGTCTCCATAAACACCTCCTCAGGGCTCTACACAGTGAGTGACACGGTGAGTGTCTTGGTGAGTGAGTGAGTGACTTGGTGAGTGAGTGAGTGAGGGGCAGGCGGGTCTCCATAAACACCTCCTCAGGACTCTACACAGTGAGTGACTTGGTGAGTGACACGGTGAGTGAGTGAGTGAGGGGCAGGCGGGTCTCCATAAACACCTCCTCAGGGCTCTACACAGTGAGTGACACGGTGAGTGTCTTGGTGAGTGAGTGAGTGAGTGACTTGGTGAGTGAGTGAGTGAGGGGCAGGCGGGTCTCCATAAACACCTCCTCAGGACTCTACACAGTGAGTGTGTGGGTGACACAGTGAGTGACTTGGTGAGTGACACGGTGAGTGACTTGGTGAGTGACACGGTGAGTGAGTGAGTGAGGGGCAGGCGGGTCTCCATAAACACCTCCTCAGGGCTCTACACAGTGAGTGAGTGACTTGGTGAGTGACTTGGTGAGTGAGTGAGTGACACAGTGAGTGAGTGAGTGACAGGCGGGTCTCCATAAACACCTCCTCAGGGCTCTACATACACAGTGAGTGACTTAGTGAGTGACACAGTGAGTGACACAGTGAGTGTGTGGGTGACAGGCGGGTCTCCATAAACACCTCCTCAGGACTCTACACAGTGAGTGAGTTAGTGAGTGACACAGTGAGTGAGTGAGTGACTGAGTGAGTGAGTGAGTGACAGGCGGGTCTCCATAAACACCTCCTCAGGGCTCTACACAGTGAGTGTGTGTGGGTGACACAGTGAGTGACTTGGTGAGTGACTTGGTGAGTGAGGGGCAGGCGGGTCTCCATAAACACCTCCTCAGGGCTCTACATACACAGTGAGTGTGTGGGTGACACGGTGAGTGACACAGTGAGTGACACAGTGAGTGAGTGAGTGACTGGGTGAGTGACAGGCGGGTCTCCATAAACACATCCTCAGGGCACTACACACACAGTGAGTGACACAGTGAGTGACACAGTGAGTGACACAGTGAGTGACTTGGTGAGTGAGTGACAGGCGGGTCTCCATAAACAACTCCTCAGGGCTCTACATACACAGTGAGTGACTTAGTGAGTGACACGGTGAGTGAGTGAGTGACTGGGTGAGTGAGTGACAGGCGGGTCTCCATAAACACCTCCTCAGGGCTTTACACAGTGAGTGAGTGAGTGTGTGGGTGACACAGTGAGTGACACAGTGAGTGACACGGTGAGTGAGTGAGTGACAGGCGGGTCTCCATAAACACCTCCTCAGGACTCGACACAGTGAGTGAGTGTGTGGGTGATACAGTGAGTGACTTGGTGAGTGACTGAGTGAGTGACTGAGTGAGTGAGTGAGTGACAGGCGGGTCTCCATAAACACCTCCTCAGGGCTCTACACACACAGTGAGTGAGTGAGTGTGTGGGTGATACAGTGAGTGACTTGGTGAGTGACTGAGTGACTGAGTGAGTGACTGAGTGAGTGTGTGGGTGACAGGCGGGTCTCCATAAACACCTCCTCAGGGCTCTACACAGTGAGTGACACGGTGAGTGACTTGGTGAGTGGCAGGCGGGTCTCCATAAACACCTCCTCAGGGCTCTACACAGTGAGTGACACAGTGAGTGACTTGGTGAGTGACTTGGTGAGTGACTTGGTGAGTGACTTGGTGAGTGACTTGGTGAGTGACTGAGTGAGTGAGTGGCAGGCGGGTCTCCATAAACACCTCCTCAGGGCTCTACACACACAGTGAGTGAGTTAGTGAGTGACACGGTGAGTGACTTGGTGAGTGAGTGAGTGACTGAGTGAGTGACAGGCGGGTCTCCATAAACACCTCCTCAGGACTCTACATACACAGTGAGTGTGTGTGTGGGTGACACAGTGAGTGACACGGTGAGTGACACGGTGAGTGAGTGAGTGACTGAGTGAGTGACAGGCGGGTCTCCATAAACACCTACTCAGGGCTCTACACAGTGAGTGACACAGTGAGTGACTTGGTGAGTGACTTGGTGAGTGACTTGGTGAGTGACTGAGTGAGTGAGTGGCAGGCGGGTCTCCATAAACACCTCCTCAGGGCTCTACACACACAGTGAGTGAGTTAGTGAGTGACACGGTGAGTGACTTGGTGAGTGAGTGAGTGACTGAGTGAGTGACAGGCGGGTCTCCATAAACACCTCCTCAGGACTCTACATACACAGTGAGTGACACGGTGAGTGACACAGTGAGTGACTTGGTGAGTGACTGAGTGAGTGACTGGGTGAGTGACAGGTGGGTCTCCATAAACACCTCCTCAGGGCTCTACACAGTGAGTGACACGGTGAGTGACACAGTGAGTGACTTGGTGAGTGACTGAGTGACACGGTGACTGAGTGAGTGACTGAGTGACAGGCAGGTCTCCATAAACACCTCCTCAGGGCTCTACATACACAGTGAGTGACTTAGTGAGTGACTTGGTGAGTGACTGAGTGAGTGAGTGACTTGGTGAGTGACAGGCGGGTCTCCATAAACACCTCCTCAGGGCTCTACACGGTGAGTGACACAGTGAGTGACACAGTGAGTGACTCAGTGAGTGACTTGGTGAGTGACTTGGTGAGTGAGTGACACGGTGAGTGACTTGGTGAGTGAGTGAGTGACAGGCGGGTCTCCATAAACACCTCCTCAGGGCTCTACACGGTGAGTGAGTGATTTGGTGAGTGACTTGGTGAGTGACTGAGTGAGTGAGTGAGTCACTGAGTGAGTGAGTGACAGGCGGGTCTCCATAAACACCTCCTCAGGACTCTACATACACAGTGAGTGACACGGTGAGTGACACGGTGAGTGACTGAGTGAGTGAGTGAGTGACAGGCGGGTCTCCATAAACACCTCCTCAGGACTCTACATACACAGTGAGTGACACGGTGAGTGACTGAGTGAGTGACTTGGTGAGTGACTGAGTGACTGACTGAGTGAGTGAGTGACAGGCGGGTCTCCATAAACACCTCCTCAGGGCTCTACACAGTGGGTGAGTGACTTGGTGAGTGACTGAGTGAGTGACTTAGTGAGTGACACGGTGAGTGACTGAGTGAGTGAGTGAGTGACAGGCGGGTCTCCATAAACACCTCCTCAGGGCTGTACACAGTGAGTGACACGGTGAGTGACACGGTGAGTGACTGAGTGAGTGACTGGGTGAGTGACAGGCGGGTCTCCATAAACACCTCCTCAGGGCTCTACACGGTGGGTGAGTGTGTGGGTGACACGGTGAGTGACTTGGTGAGTGACTTGGTGAGTGACTTGGTGAGTGAGGGGCAGGCGGGTCTCCATAAACACCTCCTCAGGGCTCTACACAGTGAGTGACACAGTGAGTGACTGAGTGAGTGAGTGACTTGGTGAGTGACTGAGTGAGTGAGTGAGTGACAGGCGGGTCTCCATAAACACCTCCTCAGGGCTCTACACGGTGGGTGAGTGACTTGGTGAGTGAGTGACTGAGTGAGTGAGTGACTGAGTGACTGAGTGACTGAGCGAGTGACTGAGTGACTGAGTGACTCACCCTGTGGTTGAACACACAGAATGAGTCGAGCGTGTGGAGTTTCTGCTCCAAGAGGCCAGTCCCCGCTGAGTAGAGGGTGTGACTGAGTGAGTGAGTGAGTGACTGAGTGAGTGACTGAGTGAGTGACTGAGTGACTGAGTGAGTGACTGAGTGAGTGAGTGACTGAGTGGCTGAGTGAGTGACTGAGTGACTGAATGAGTGAGTGAGTGACTGAGTGAGTGAGTGACTGAGTGACTCACCCTGTGGTTGAACACACAGAATGAGTCGAGCGTGTGGAGGTTCTGCTCCAAGAGGCCAGTCCCCGCTGAGTAGAGGGTGTGACTGACTGACTGAGTGACTGAGTGAGTGACTGAGTGACTGACTGAGTGACTGAGTGACTGAGTGAGTGACTGAGTGAGTGACTGAGTGAGTGACTGAGTGAGTGACTGAGTGAGTGACTGAGTGACTCACCCTGTGGTTGAACACACAGAATGAGTCGAGCGTGTGGAGGTTCAGCTCCAAGAGGCCAGTCCCCGCTGAGTAGAGGGTGTGACTGAGTGACTGAGTGAGTGAGTGACTGAGTGAGTGACTGAGTGAGTGAGTGACTGAGTGACTGAGTGAGTGACTGAGTGACTGACTGAGTGACTGAGTGACTCACCCTGTGGTTGAACACACAGAATGAGTCGAGCGTGTGGAGGTTCTGCTCCAAGAGGCCAGTCCCCGCTGAGTAGAGGGTGTGACTGAGTGACTGAGTGAGTGACTGAGTGACTGAGTTAGTGAGTGTGTGACTGAGTGACTGAGTGAGTGACTGAGTGACTGAGTTAGTGAGTGTGTGACTGAGTGACTGAGTGAGTGACTGAGTGAGTGACTGAGTGAGTGACTGAGTGAGTGACTGAGTGACTGAGTGAGTGACTGAGTGAGTGACTGAGTGAGTGACTGAGTGAGTGACTGAGTGACTCACCCTGTGGTTGAACACACAGAATGAGTCGAGCGTGTGGAGGTTCTGCTCCAAGAGGCCAGTCCCCGCTGAGTAGAGGGTGTGACTGAGTGACTGAGTGAGTGACTGAGTGAGTGAGTGACTGAGTGACTGACTGAGTGACTGAGTGACTGAGTGACTGAGTGAGTGAGTGAGTGACTGAGTGACTGAGTGAGTGACTGAGTGAGTGACTGAGTGACTGAGTGAGTGACTGAGTGAGTGACTGAGTGAGTGACTGAGTGACTCACCCTGTGGTTGAACACACAGAATGAGTCGAGCGTGTGGAGGTTCTGCTCCAAGAGGCCAGTCCCCGCTGAGTAGAGGGTGTGACTGAGTGACTGAGTGAGTGACTGAGTGACTGAGTGACTGAGTGAGTGAGTGACTGACTGAGTGACTGAGTGACTGAGTGAGTGACTGAGTGACTCACCCTGTGGTTGAACACACAGAATGAGTCGAGCGTGTGGAGGTTCTGCTCCAAGAGGCCAGTCCCCGCTGAGTAGAGGGTGTGACTGAGTGAGTGAGTGACTGAGTGACTGAGTGACTGAGTGACTGACTGAGTGACTGAGTGAGTGACTGAGTGACTGAGTGACTCACCCTGTGGTTGAACACACAGAATGAGTCGAGCGTGTGGAGGTTGTGCTCCAAGAGGCCAGTCCCCGCTGAGTAGAGGGAAGCTTCGTCCAGCTGCAGCACCGCCACGGCCACCCAGAAGAGCGCCCGGTGCATCGGCGAGTCCTGGGGTCACGGGGGGGTGAGGGGTCACGGGGGGGTGAGGGGTCACGGGGGGGGGGGAGGGGTCATGGGGGGAAGAGGGGTAACAGAGGAAGGGGTCACGTGTGTGTGTGTAGGTGTGTGTAGGTGTGTGTGTAGGTGTGTAGGTGTGTGTGTGTAGGTGTGTGTAGGTGTGTGTGTAGGTGTGTGTGTGTAGGTGTGTGTTTGTGTGTGTAGGTGTGTATGTGTGTGTGTGTAGGTGTGTGTGTGTAGGTGCTCGCTAACAGCACTTACCCCTACAGTCTGTTAAGGCTATATGGGGGATCTTGTCTTGTCTTGTGTGTGTAGGTGTGTGTGTGTGGGTGTGTATGTAGGTGTGTGTGTGTAGGTGTGTGTGTGTAGGTGTGTGTGTGTGTGTAGGTGTGTGTGTTTGTACCATCGGACACTCCACCCCCACAACTCCCAATCGGTGATGGGGCAGTTGTGGAGAGAGTGGAGAGTTTCCCATACCTGGGAAGTGTGCTTATGACCGGCTCCAGTTTAACAGCAGAGGTCTCACTCCGAATCAGTCGAGCGGCAATATCTTTTCATCGGTTGCGTAACGCTGTGTGGAAGCTACCTGGTCTGTCGCTCCGCACTAAGCTTCAGGTCTTCTCGGCCACGGTCATTCCCTCCCTTCTCTACGCTTGCGAAACGTGGACCCCCCTAATGGAACATCTTCGCCGGTTAGAAACATTTAGGCTGGCCTGCCTACGATCCATCCTGGGTTTAACCAGACTGGATTGTGTGAGGAGCTCACAAATCCTTGAAAGATCTGGGCAGGGTCCCATCGGTGAGCTCCTCCGGCAGGCAAGGCTGCGATGGCTGGGTCATGTAGCCCGCATGCCCAGCCACCGCATGCCGAAACAGCTTTTGTTTGGCCGGATCGAGGGGGCTAAGCGGGCGCGGCACGGGCTAGAGAAGAGATGGAGTCATGTGGTACAGGAGGACGTGGAGCTGAGTGGACTTGCCGATGACTGGTACCAGCGGTGTCAAGATCGGTCTCTGTGGAGGAGGCTCGTGAAGGATGCTACTGGGCAGTTGGAGGCAGTCGCCCTCCAACAACAACGGAGGGCGGAGGAGCGACGCTCACAGCAACGAGCGGAGCGCCGGGTGGCTAAAGCACAGCAGGTTGGCACAGTAGGGGGCACAGGTGGTGCATCAGCCAGTCATCTCAGTTAGTCGACCCGTGGCACCTGAGTCTGCCCAGTGACCTCCTGCCAGCGGGCGTTCGACACTTCACGTGGCCTCAGGGTGCACATAGCCTGGCACAAGTGTCGTGGTGACGTCACCGCCACTTAGTGGCGAATGGCGGTTGTTGTTGTGTAGGTGTGTGTAGGTGTGTGTGTGTAGGTGTGTGTGTGTGTAGGTGTGTGTGTGTAGGTGTGTGTGTGTAGGTGTGTGTGTGTGTAGGTGTGTGTGTGTGTATGTGTAGGTGTGTGTGTGTAGGTGTGTATAGGTGTAGTGTGTGTGTGTAGGTGTGTGTGTGTGTGTGTATGTGTAGGTGTGTGTGTGTGTGTAGGTGTGTGTAGGTGTAGTGTGTGTGTGTAGGTGTGTGTGTGTGTAGGTGTGTGTAGGTGTAGTGTGTGTGTGTAGGTGTGTGTAGGTGTAGTGTGTGTGTGTAGGTGTGTGTGTGTAGGTGTATGTGTGTGTAGGTGTAGTGTGTGTGTGTAGGTGTGTGTGTGTGTAGGTGTGTGTGTATGTGTAGGTGTAGTGTGTGTGTGTAGGTGTGTGTGTGTAGGTGTATGTGTGTGTAGGTGTAGTGTGTGTGTGTAGGTGTGTGTGTGTGTAGGTGTGTGTGTATGTGTAGGTGTGTGCGTGTGTGCTACTCACACGTGCGAGTAGAGGCTGCAGGCGCATCAGGGCGATGACCGTGGCCTCGATGAGAACCAGGCTGTTGTAGCTGTCAGGCCCCTTCAGTGAACTCTCCAGACCCTGCACACACACACACAGTCACACACAGGTACACACAGTCACACACACAGTCACACACGCACACACACACGGTGACACACGCACACACACACGGTGACACACGCACGGTGACACACGCACACACACAGTCACACACGCACACACACACGCACACACACACGGTGACACACGCACACACACAGTGACACACACACACACACACAGTCACCCACGCACAAACACACAGTCACACACGCACACACACACGCACACACACACGGTGACACACGCACACACACACGCGACACACGCACGCGACACACGCACACACACACGCACACACGTACACACGGTGACACATGCACACACACACGCACACACACACGTACACACACGTTTACACACGGTGACACACGCACACACACACAGACAGACACACACAGACACACGCACACACAAAGATCCCCCATATAGCCTTAACAGACTGTAGGGGCAAGTGCTGTTAGCGAGCACCTATGAAGGCCGGAACGGTACACGAGGGGGTGGGTGGCCAGCACCACGCCCGACCGCCTTTGTCTCCCCAGTGGCGATGTTTACACACCACACCAGGTACTCATTTGAGGCTGAGTCGACCTAGGGGAGGCCCGGGACCGGTTCAGATAATCGTCACTAGTGTTGGCCGTGAGCGGGAATCGAACCCGGGTCGCCAGGTTCATAGGGCAGTGTAGCGCTAACCGCTACACTATCACTCATAGACACACACACAGACACACAGTGACACACACACACACAGACACACACACAGACACACAGTGACACACACACACACAGACACACACACAGACACACAGTGACACACACACACACAGACACACACACACACACACAGTGACACACACACACAGACACGTACACACACACACGTGTATATCCACAAGCACGTACACACACACACGCACGCACACACACACACACGTATACATGTGTGTCTTTCCCCGTTTGTGTATGCGTCTCCCCGTGTGTGTATCACCGTGTGTGTATCACCGTGTGTGTGCGTGCGTGACCGTGTGTGTGTGTGTCACCGTGTGTGTGTCACCGCGTGTGTGCGTGTCACTGTGAGTCACCGTGTGTGTGCGTGCGTGTGTCACCGTGTGTGTGTGTGCGGCACCGTGTGTGTGTGTCACCGTGTGTGTGTGTGTGTCACCGTGTGTGTGTGTGTGTCACCGTGTGTGTGTGTGTGTCACTGTGTGTGTGTGTGTGTCACCGTGTGTGTGTGTGTGTCACCGTGTGTGTGTGTGTGCGTGTGTCACTGTGTGTGTCACCGTGTGTGTGTGTGTGTGTCACCGTGTGTGTGTGTCACCGTGTGTGTGCGTGTGTGTGTGTGTGTCACCGTGTGTGTCACCGTGTGTGTGTGTCACCGTGTGTGTGCGTGTGTGCACCTTGCTCTGAATGTGCAGGATCTGGCGGATGTGAGTGCTGGTCGCTCGCTTGCTGATGCAGCCAAACACCACGAGGGCACGCGGCTGTAGGGACGGGTTGTACTGGAACGCAAACCTACACACAGTAACACACACACACAGTGACACACACACAGTGACACACACACACAGTGACACACACACACACAGTGACACACACACAGTGACACACACACACAGTGACACACACACAAGTTGACACACACACACAGTGACACACACACAGTGACACACACACACAGTGACACACACACAGTGACACACACACACGGTGACACACACACAGTGACACACACACACAGTGACACACACACACACGGTGACACACACACAGACACGGTGACACACACACAGTGACACACACACAGTGACACACACACACAGTGACACACACACACAGTGACACACACACACACACGGTGACACACACACAGTGACACACACACACACGGTGACACACACACAGACACGGTGACACACACACAGTGACACACACACACAGTGACACACACACACAGTGACACACACACACACACGGTGACACACACACACACAGTGACACACACACACAGTGACACACACACATGGTGACACACACACACAGTGACACACACACACGGTGACACACACACACACGGTGACACACACACACAGTGACACACACACACACAGGGTGACACACACACACAGTGACACACACACACACACGGTGACACACACACACAGTGACACACACACACACACACGGTGACACACACACACGGTGACACACACACACGGTGACACACACACACGGTGACACACACACACACGGTGACACACACAGTGACACACACACACACAGACGGTGACACACACACAGTGACACACACACACGGTGACACACACACACACACAGTGACACACACACACAGTGACACACACACGGTGACACACACGGTGACACACACACACAGTGACACACAGTGACACACACACGGTGACACACACGGTGACACACAGTGACACACACACGGTGACACACACACACGGTGACACACAGTGACACACACACAGTGACACACAGTGACACACTCACAGTGACACACACACACACAGTGACACACACACGGTGACACACCACACACGGTGATACACCACAACCATGATCACAGCCACCATCATCATGATCACCACCATCACCACAACCACGATCACCACAACCACCACCACCACAATCACCACAACCACGATCACCACCATCACCACCATCATCACCATCACCACCATCATCATCACCACCATCACCACCATCATCATCATCACCACCATCACCACCATCACCACCATCACCATCACCACCATCATTATCATCACCACCATCATCATCATCACCACCATCATCACCACCATCATCATCATCACCACCATCACCACCATCACCACCATCATCATCATCATCACCACCATCACCACCATCACCACCATCATTATCATCATCACCATCATCACCACTATCATCATCACCATCATCACCATCATCATTACCATCACCACCATCATCATCATCACCACCATCACCACTATCATTATCATCATCACCATCACCACCACCATCATCATCATCATCACCACCATCACCACCATCACCACCATCATCATCACCACCATCACCACCATCACCACCATCACCACCATCACCACCACCACCTCCACCACCACCACCACCACACCACCACCACCACCACCACAACCACCACCACCATGATGATGTCTAGGCTGGGTTCTTACTTCTGGGCGAGCTCCGTCCACTGCTCCAGCCAGCGGCAGGTCGGCTGGTCACGCATGCAGGCCTGGTGAGTGACACCGTCACACAGTCACTCACACAGTCACACACAGTCACACACAGTCACATAGTCACACACACACACAGTCACGCATGCAGGCCTGGTGAGTGACACCGTCAGTCAGTCAGTCACAGTCACTCACAGTCACACAGTCAGTCACGCATGCAGGCCTGGTGAGTGACACCGTCAGTCAGTCAGTCACAGTCACTCACAGTCACACAGTCAGTCACGCATGCAGGCCTGGTGAGTGACACCGTCAGTCAGTCAGTCACAGTCACTCACAGTCACACAGTCAGTCACGCATGCAGGCCTGGTGAGTGACACCGTCAGTCACAGTCACAGTCAGTCACACAGTCAGTCACACAGTCACTCACACACACAGTCACACACAGTCACACAGTCACGCATGCAGGCCTGGTGAGTGACACAGTCAGTCAGTCACACAGTCACACAGTCACTCACAGTCACACACAGTCACGCATGCAGGCCTGGTGAGTGACAGACAGTCAGTCACACAGTCAGTCACACAGTCAGTCACAGTCACACAGTCACTCACAGTCACTCACAGTCACACACAGTCACGCATGCAGGCCTGGTGAGTGACAGTCAGTCACAGTCACTCACAGTCACACAGTCACAGTCACACAGTCACTCACAGTCACACACAGTCACGCATGCAGGCCTGGTGAGTGACACCGTCAGTCACACAGTCAGTCACAGTCACACAGTCACACACAGTCACACACACAGTCACACACACACACACAATCACTCAGTCACACACAGTCACACACAGTCAGTCACACAGTCACACACAGTCACAGTGTGTGTGACACCACCAATCACCACCAATCACCACCACCGCTCACCACCACCACCACCACCGCCGCTCACCACCACCACCACCCACCTCACCGGCCGCTCACCTCCATGATCTCCAGCAGAGCGTCGCTCACCACCTCGAGCGAGGGGTGAGCCACGAGCCCTCTCGAGCTCACCACCACCACCACCACCACCGCCGCTCACCACCACCACCACCACCACCACCCACCTCACCGGCCGCTCACCTCCATGATCTCCAGCAGAGCGTCGGTCACCACCTCGAGCGAGGTGAGCGAGAAGCTCTCCCGCTCGTACGAGCCCGGCGAGAAGGAACGGTCTCGGTAGCTGGCGCGGAAGGCGATGACGGCGGCCGACTTCACCTTGCTGATGCCGAACAGCAGCTTGAACTTGGGCAGGCAGAACTCGGTCACGCTGAGGCGCAGGACTTGCTTCGTCTCCTCTGTGGCAGCGGTGGAGAGACACGGTGAGAGACACGGAGAGACACGGAGAGACACGGAGAGACACGGTGAGACACGGAGAGACACGGAGAGACATGGAGAGACACGGTGAGACAGAACTCGGTCACGCTGAGGCGCAGGACTTGCTTCGTCTCCTCTGTGGCAGCGGTGGAGAGACACGGTGAGAGACACGGAGAGACACGGTGAGACACGGAGAGACACGGTGAGACACGGAGAGACACGGAGAGACATGGAGAGACACGGTGAGACAGAACTCGGTCACGCTGAGGCGCAGGACTTGCTTCGTCTCCTCTGTGGCAGCGGTGGAGAGACACGGTGAGAGACACGGAGAGACACGGAGAGACACGGAGAGACACGGAGAGACACGGTGAGACACGGAGAGACACGGTGAGACACGGAGAGACACGGTGAGACACGGAGAGACACGGTGAGACAGAACTCCGTCACACTGAGGCGCAGGACCTGCTTCGTCTCCTCTGTGGCAGCGGTGGAGAGACACGGTGAGAGACACGGAGAGACACGGTGAGACACGGAGAGACACGGTGAGACACGGGGAGACACGGTGAGACACAGGGGGACACGGTGAGACACGGAGAGACACGGTGAGACACAGGGGGACACGGTGAGAGACGGAGAGACACGGTGAGACACGGAGAGACACGGTGAGACACGGAGAGACACGGGGAGACATAGAGAGACACGGTGAGACACGGGGGGACACGGTGAGACACGGAGAGACACGGTGAGACACGGAGAGACACGGTGAGACACGGAGAGACACGGGGAGACATAGAGAGACACGGTGAGACACGGGGGGACACGGTGAGACACGGAGAGACACGGTGAGACACGGAGAGACACGGTGAGACATGGAGAGACACGGGGAGACACGGTGAGACACGGAGAGACACGGTGAGACACGGAGAGACACGGTGAGACATGGAGAGACACGGGGAGACACGGGGGGACACAGGGGAGACACGGGGAGGGAGACACGGGGAGACACGGAGAGACACGGGGAGACACGGAGAGACACGGTGAGACACGGAGAGACACGGGGGGACACGGAGAGACACGGTGAGACACGGTGAGACACGGTGAGACACGGAGAGACACGGTGAGACACGGTGAGACACGGAGAGACACGGTGAGACACGGAGAGACACGGTGAGATACGGGGGAGACACGGTGAGACACGGTGAGACACGGAGAGACACGGAGAGACACGGGGAGACACGGTGAGACACGGGGAGACACGGAGAGACACGGAGAGACACGGAGAGACACGGGGAGACACGGGGAGACACGGAGAGACGCATAGAGACGCAGAGAGACACGTAGAGACGCAGAGAGACACGGGGAGAGACGGAGAGAAGCGGGGAGACACGGGGAGACACGGGTAGACACGGGGAGACACGGGGGGAGACACGGGGAGACACGGAGAGACACGGTGAGACACGGTGAGACACGGAGAGACACGGTGAGACACGGTGAGACACGGAGAGACGCATAGAGACGCAGAGAGACACGTAGAGACGCAGAGAGACACGGGGAGAGACGGAGAGAAGCGGGGAGACACGGGGAGACACGGGTAGACACGGGGAGACACGGGGAGACACGGGGAGACACGGGGGGAGACACGGGGAGACACGGAGAGACACGGTGAGACACGGTGAGACACGGAGAGACACGGTGAGACACGGAGAGACACGGGGAGACACGGGGAGAGACACGGTGAGACACGGAGAGACACGGTGAGACACGGAGAGACACGGGGAGACACGGGGAGACACGGAGAGACACGGAGAGACACGGTGAGACACGGGGAGACACGGGCAGGCAGAATTCAGTGATGCTCAGGCCCATCCACTCACCCACTCACTCACCCATTCACCAACTCACCAACACACTCACTCACCCCATCACTCACCCACTCACTCACTCACCCACCCACTCACACACCCACTCACAGACTGAATCACTCATCCACTCACCCACCCAATCACACACCCACCCACACACCCACCCACTCACACACCCACTCACCCAATCACTCACCCACCCACTCACCCACCAACTCACCCCATCACTCACCCACTCACTCACTCACCCACCCACTCACACACCCCATCACTCACCCACCCACCCACTCCATCACCCACCCACTCACTCACCCACTCACTCATCCACTCACACACCCACTCACCCCATCACCCACCCACTCACTCACCCCATCACCCACCCACTCACCCACTCACTCACCCACCCACCGACTCACCCACTCACCCACCCACCGACTCACCCACTCACCCACCCACCGACTCACCCACTCACCCACCCACCGACTCACACACCCACTCACCCACCCACCCACTCACCCACCCACTCACCCACCCACCCACTCACCCACCCACCCACTCACCCACCCACCCACTCACCACTGAAGTTGAGCTGGGAGCACGTGCACAGTGAGTGGATGATGTTGATGACAACTCACCCCACCACTCACCCCATCACTCACCCACCCACCCACTCACCCACCCACCCACTCACTCACTCACCGACTCACTCACCAACTCACTCACTCACCCCACCACTCACCCCACCACTCACTCACCCCATCACTCACTCACTCACCCACTCACTCACCCACCCACTCACCCACCCACCCACTCACCACTGAAGTTGAGCTGGGAGCACGTGCACAGTGAGTGGATGATGTTGATGACAACTCACCCCACCACACACTCACCCACCCACCCACTCACCCACCCACCCACCCACTCACCCACCCACCCACTCACCCCATCACCCACCCACTCACCCTCTCACCCACCCACCCACTCACCCACTCACCCACCCACCCACCCCATCACCCACCCACTCACCCACCCACTCACTCACCCACTCACTCACCCACCCACTCACTCACCCACCCACTCACTCACTCACTCACCCACTCACCCACCCACTCACTCACTCACTCACCCACCCACTCACCCACCCACCCACTCACCCCATCACCCACCCACCCACCCACTCACCCTCTCACCCACCCACCCACTCACCCACTCACCCACCCACCCACCCCATCACCCACCCACTCACCCACCCACTCACTCACCCACTCACTCACCCACCCACTCACTCACCCACCCACCCACTCACCCACCCACTCACTCACTCACTCACCCACCCACTCACCCACCCACCCACTCACCACTGAAGTTGAGCTGGGAGCACGTGCACAGTGAGTGGATGATGTTGATGACAACTCACCCCACCACTCACCCACCCACCCACTCACCGACTCACTCACCCACCCCATCACTCACCCACTCACCCACCCACTCACTCACCCACTCACCCACCCACTCACTCACCCACCCACTCACTCACTCACCCACTCACCCACTCACCCACCCACTCACCCACCCACCCACTCACTCACTCACCCACTCACCCACTAACCCACCCACCCACTCACCACTGAAGTTGAGCTGGGAGCACGTGCACAGTGAGTGGATGATGTTGATGACAACTCACCCCACCACTCACCCCACCACTCACCCACCCACCCACTCACTCACCCACTCACCCACCCACTCACCCACTCACTCACCCACCCACTCACTCACCCACTCACCCACCCACTCACCCACCCACCCACCCCATCACCCACCCACTCACCACTGAAGTTGAGCTGGGAGCACGTGCACAGTGAGTGGATGATGTTGATGACAACTCACCCCACCACTCACCCCACCACCCACTCACCCACTCACTCACCCACCCACTCACCCACCCACTCACTCACCCACTCACCCACTCACCCACCCACCCACTCACCCCACCACTCACCCACCCACCCACCCACTCACCACTGAAGTTGAGCTGGGAGCACGTGCACAGGGAATGGATGATGTTGATGACAACTCACCCCACCACTCACCCAACCACTCACTCACCCACCCACTCACCCACCCACTCACCCACCCACTCACCCACCCACCCACCCACTCACCACTGAAGTTGAGCTGGGAGCACGTGCACAGTGAGTGGATGATGTTGATGACAACTCACCCCAACCACTCACCCCATCACTCACCCACCCACCCACCCCATCACCCACCCACCCACTCACCACTGAAGTTGAGCTGGGAGCACGTGCACAGTGAGTGGATGATGTTGATGACAACTCACCCCATCACTCACCCCATCACTCACCCACTCACTCATTCACCCACTCACTCACTCACCCACCCACTCACTCACCCACTCACTCACCCACCCACCCACTCACTCACCCACTCACCCACCCCATCACCCACCCACTCACCACTGAAGTTGAGCTGGGAGCACGTGCACAGTGAGTGGATGATGTTGATGACAACTCACCCCACCACTCACCCCACCACTCACCCACCCACCCACTCACCCACCCACTCACTCACCCACCCACCCACCCACTCACTCACCCACTCACCCACTCACTCACTCACCCACTCACCCACTAACGCACCCACCCACTCACCACTGAAGTTGAGCTGGGAGCACGTGCACAGTGAGTGGATGATGTTGATGACAACTCACCCCACCACTCACCCCACCACTCACTCACCCACTCACTCACCCACCCACTCACCCACCCACTCACTCACCCACTCACCCACTCACCCACCCACTCACCCCACCACTCACCCACCCACCCACCCACTCACCACTGAAGTTGAGCTGGGAGCACGTGCACAGGGAATGGATGATGTTGATGACAACTCACCCACCCACTCACTCACCCACTCACCCACTCACTCACTCACCCACTCACCCACTAACGCACCCACCCACTCACCACTGAAGTTGAGCTGGGAGCACGTGCACAGTGAGTGGATGATGTTGATGACAACTCACCCCACCACTCACCCCACCACTCACCCACCCACCCACTCACTCACCCACTCACTCACCCACTCACCCACCCACTCACTCACCCACTCACCCACCCACTCACCCACCCACCCACCCCATCACCCACCCACTCACCACTGAAGTTGAGCTGGGAGCACGTGCACAGTGAGTGGATGATGTTGATGACAACTCACCCCACCACTCACCCCACCACTCACTCATCCACTCACTCACCCACCCACTCACCCACCCACTCACTCACCCACTCACCCACTCACCCACCCACTCACCCCACCACTCACCCACCCACCCACCCACCCACTCACCACTGAAGTTGAGCTGGGAGCACGTGCACAGGGAATGGATGATGTTGATGACAACTCACCCCACCACTCACCCAACCACTCACCCACCCACTCACTCACCCACCCACTCACCCACCCACTCACCCACCCACTCACTCACCCACCCACTCACCCACCCACCCACCCACTCACCACTGAAGTTGAGCTGGGAGCACGTGCACAGTGAGTGGATGATGTTGATGACAACTCACCCCAACCACTCACCCCATCACTCACCCACCCACCCACCCACCCCATCACCCACCCACCCACTCACCACTGAAGTTGAGCTGGGAGCACGTGCACAGTGAGTGGATGATGTTGATGACAACTCACCCCACCACTCACCCCACCACTCACCCACCCACCCACTCACCCACCCACTCACTCACCCACCCACTCACCACTGAAGTTGAGCTGGGAGCACGTGCACAGTGAGTGGATGATGTTGATGACAACTCACCCCACCACTCACCCCACCACTCACACACCCACCCACTCACCCACCCACTCACTCACCCACCCACCCACCCACTCACTCACTCATCCACTCACTCACCCACCCACTCACCCACCCACCCACTCACCACTGAAGTTGAGCTGGGAGCACGTGCACAGTGAGTGGATGATGTTTATGACAACTCACCCCACCACTCACCCACCCACTCACTCACCCACTCACCCACCCACCCACCCCCTCACCCACCCACTCACCACTGAAGTTGAGCTGGGAGCACGTGCACAGTGAGTGGATGATGTTGATGACAACTCACCCCATCACTCACCCACTCACCCCACCACCAACTCACTCACTCACCCACTCACCCCATCACTCACCCACTCACCCCATCACTCACCCACCCACTCACCCACTCACCACTGAAGTTGAGCTGGGAGCACGTGCACAGTGAGTGGATGATGTTGATGACAACTCACCCCATCACTCACCCACTCACCCACCCACCCACCCATCCACTCACTCACCGACTCACTCACCCACTCACCCACCCACCCACCCACTCACCACTGAAGTTGAGCTGGGAGCACGTGCACAGTGAGTGGATGATGTTGATGACAACTCACCCCACCACTCACCCACTCACCCCATCACTCACCCCATCACTCACCCACTCACTCACCCACTCACCCACCCACTCACTCACCCACTCACCCACTCACTCACCCACCCACTCACCCACCCACCCACTCACCCACCCACTCACCACTGAAGTTGAGCTGGGAGCACGTGCACAGTGAGTGGATGATGTTGATGACGAGGCCGTGAGTGGAGGCCCTTAGGGACAGGGGCCCCGTGGCAACGAGCAACGTCACGACGTGGAAGAGGTAGGGGAGGTGGGTGGCCACGTCCAGGGAGTTGTTGAAACTCAGCATGAGCATGTACCTGTGGGGAGAGGGGGTTGGGTGGGTGGGTGAGTGGGTGAGTGGGTGGGTGAGTGGGTGGGTGAGTGGGTGGGTGAGTGGGTGGGTGGGTGGGTAGGTGAATGGGTGAGAGGGTGGGTGGGTGAGTGGGTGGGTGGGTGGGTGAGTGAGTGAGTGGGTGGGTGGGTGAGTGGGTGGGTGGGTGGGTGAGTGGGTGAATGGGTGAGAGAGTGAGTGGGAGAGTGGGTGGATGGGTGGGTGAGCGGGTGAGTGGGTGGGTGAGTGGGTGGGTGGGTGGGTGAGCGAGTGGGTGAGTGGGTGAGTGGGTGGGTGAGTGGGTGGGTGGTTGAATGAGTGGGTGGGTGAGGGGGTGAGCGAGTGGGTGAGTGGGTGAGCGGGTGGGTGAGTGGGTGGGTGAGTGGGTGGGTGGGTGGGTGAGTGGGTGAGTGGGTGGGTGGGTGGATGGGTGAGTGGGTGAGTGAGTGAGTGGGTGAGTGAGTGGGTGGGTGGGTGGGTAGGTGAATGGGTGAGAGAGTGGGTGAGTGGGTGAGAGAGTGAGTGAGTGAGTGGGTGAGCGGGTGGGTGGGTGGGTGGGTGAGTGAGTGGGTGGGAGAGTGAGTCACTGAGTGAATGGGTGAGTGGGTGAGTGGGTGAGCGGGTGAGCGGGCGAGTGGGTGAGCGGGTGAGTGAGTGGGTGAGTGGGTGGGTGGGTGAGAGAGTGGGTGAGAGAGTGAGTGAGTGGGTGGGTGGGTAGCTAGGTGGGTGAGTGAGTGGGTGGGTGGGTGGGTGAGTGGGTGGGTGGATGAGTGAGTGGGTGGGTGGGTGAGTGGGTGGATGGGTGGGTGAGTGGGTGAGTGAGTGAGTGGGTAGGTGGGTGAGCGAGTGGGTGAGTGGGTGAGTGGGTGGGTGAGTGAGTGGGTGGGTGGGTGGGTGAGTGAGTGGGTGGGTGGATGAGTGAGTGGGTGGGTGGGTGGGTGAGTGGGTGGATGGGTGGGTGAGCGGGTGAGTGGGTGAGTGAGTGGGTGGGTGAGTGGGTGGGTGGGTGGGTGAGTGGGTGGGTGGGTGGGTGGGTGAGTGGGTGGGTGAGTGAGTGGGTGGGTGGGTGGGTGAGTGAGTGGGTGGGTGGGTGGGTGAGTGAGTGAGTGAGTGGGTGGGTGAGTGGGTGAGTGAGTGGGTGGGTGAGCGGGTGGGAGAGTGGGTGGGTGGGTGGGTGGGTGAGTGGGTGGGTGGGTGAGTGGGTGGGGAGGTAGGTGGGTGAGTGGGTGGGTGAGTGGGTGAGTGGGTGAGTGAGTGGGTGAGTGGGTGAGTGGGTGAGTGGGTGAGTGGGTGAGAGAGTGAGTGGGAGAGTGAGTGAGTGGGTGAGCGGGTGGGTGGGTGGGTGAGTGGGTGGGTGAGTGAGTGAGTGGGTGGGTGAGAGAGTGGGTGAGAGAGTGAGTGGGTGAGTGGGTGAGAGAGTGGGTGAGTGAGTGGGTGAGTGAGTGAGTGGGCGAGTGGGTGGGTGAGAGAGTGAGTGGGTGAGTGGGTGGGTGAGAGAGTGGGTGAGAGAGTGGGTGAAAGAGTGGGTGAGTGGGTGGGTGAGTGGGTGAGTGGGTGGGTGGGTGAGTGGGTGAGTGGGTGGGTGGGTGAGAGAGTGGGTGAGAGAGTGGGTGAGTGAGTGGGTGGGTGAGTGGGTGAGTGGGTGGGTGGGTGAGAGAGTGGGTGAGAGAGTGGGTGAGAGAGTGGGTGAGTGGGTGGGAGAGTGAGTGAGTGGGTGGGTGGGTGAGTGAGTGGGTGAGTGGGTGAGAGGGTGAGTGGGTGAGTGGGTGAGAGAGTGAGTGGGTGAGTGGGTGAGAGAGTGAGTGGGTGAGTGGGTGAGAGAGTAAGCGTGGTGAGTGTGGTGAGTGTGGTGAGTGTGGTGAGTGTGGTGAGTGTGGTGAGTGTGGTGAGTGTGGTGAGCGTGGTGAGCGCTGGCACCTGGCGAGAATTGCGATGTCATCCCACATGAGGTGCTGCTCCAGCGTAGCAGTCGGTGAGAGGCAAGTCTTGTCTATGATACGGCACATCCTGCCTATCACCTGGGGAGAGAGAGTGGGTGAGTGGGAAAGTGAGTGGGTGGGTGAGTGGGTGAGTGAGTGGGTGAGTGGGTGGGTGGGTGAGTGGGTGAGTGGGTGGGTGAGTGAGTGGGTGAGTGGGTGACTGAGTGAGTGAGTGGGTGAGTGGGTGAGTGAGTGAGTGGGTGGGTGAGTGGGTGAGTGGGTGACTGAGTGAGTGGGTGAGTGGGTGAGTGAGTGAGTGAGTGGGTGAGTGAGTGAGTGAGTGGGTGAGTGAGTGAGTGAGCAGTCGGTGAGAGGCAAGTCTTGTCTATGATACGGCACATCCTGCCTATCACCTGGGGAGAGAGAGGGGGTGAGTGGGAAAGTGAGTGGGTGGGTGAGTGGGTGAGTGAGTGGGTGAGTGGGTGGGTGGGTGGGTGACTGAGTGGGTGGGTGAGTGAGTGGGTGGGTGGGTGACTGAGTGAGTGGGTGGGTGAGTGAGTGAGTGAGTGGGTGACTGAGTGAGTGAGTGGGTGAGTGGGTGAGTGAGTGAGTGAGCAGTCGGTGAGAGGCAAGTCTTGTCTATGATACGGCACATCCTGCATATCACCTGGGGAGAGAGAGGGGGTGAGTGGGAAAGTGAGTGGGTGGGTGAGTGGGTGGGTGAGTGAGTGAGTGGGTGGGTGGGTGAGTGAGTGGGTGAGTGAGTGAGTGAGTGGGTGAGTGAGTGGGTGAGTGAGTGAGTAGGTGGGTGAGTGACTGAGTGGGTGGGTGAGTGGGTGAGTGGGTGACTGAGTGAGTGAGTGGGTGAGTGAGTGGGTGAGTGGGTGACTGAGTGAGTGAGTGGGTGGGTGGGTGAGTGAGTGAGTGAGCAGTCGGTGAGAGGCAAGTCTTGTCTATGATACGGCACATCCTGCCTATCACCTGGGGAGAGAGAGGGGGTGAGTGGGAAAGTGAGTGGGTGGGTGAGTGGGTGGGTGAGTGAGTGAGTGGGTGGGTGGGTGAGTGAGTGGGTGAGTGAGTGAGTGAGTGGGTGAGTGAGTGGGTGAGTGAGTGAGTAGGTGGGTGAGTGAGTGAGTGGGTGGGTGAGTGGGTGAGTGAGTGACTGAGTGAGTGAGTGGGTGAGTGAGTGGGTGAGTGGGTGACTGAGTGAGTGAGTGGGTGGGTGGGTGAGTGAGTGAGTGAGCAGTCGGTGAGAGGCAAGTCTTGTCTATGATACGGCACATCCTGCCTATCACCTGGGGAGAGAGAGGGGGTGAGTGGGAAAGTGAGTGGGTGAGTGGATGGGTGAGTGGATGGGTGAGTGGGTGAGTGAGTGGATGGGTGAGTGGGTGGGTGGGTGAGTGGGTGAGTGGGTGACTGAGTGAGTGAGTGGGTGGGTCAGTGGGTGGGTGAGTGAGTGAGTGGGTGGGTGGGTGAGTGAGTGAGTGAGCAGTCGGTGAGAGGCAAGTCTTGTCTATGATACGGCACATCCTGCCTATCACCTGGGGAGAGAGAGGGGGTGAGTGGGAAAGTGAGTGGGTGGGTGGATGGGTGAGTGGGTGGGTGAGTGGGTGAGTGAGTGGGTGGGTGAGTGACTGAGTGAGTGAGTGGGTGAGTGGGTGGGTGAGTGAGTGAGTGGGTGAGTGAGTGGGTGGGTGAGTAAGTGAGTGGGTGGGTGAGTGAGTGAGTGGGTGGGTTGAGTGGGTGAGTGGGTGACTGAGTGAGTGGGTGGGTTGAGTGGGTGGGTGAGTGGGTGGGTGGGTGAGTGAATGAGTGGGTGGGTGAGTGAGTGAGTAGGTGGGTGAGTGACTGAGTGGGTGGGTGAGTGGGTGACTGAGTGAGTGAGTGGGTGAGTGAGTGGGTGAGTGGGTGACTGAGTGAGTGAGTGGGTGGGTGGGTGAGTGAGTGAGTGAGCAGTCGGTGAGAGGCAAGTCTTGTCTATGATACGGCACATCCTGCCTATCACCTGGGGAGAGAGAGGGGGTGAGTGGGAAAGTGAGTGGGTGGGTGAGTGGGTGAGTGAGTGAGTGAGTGGGTGAGTGGGTGAGTGAGTGAGTGGGTGGGTGAGTGGGTGGGTGGGTGAGTGAGTGAGTGGGTGAGTGAGTGGGTGGGTGGGTGGGTGAGTGAGTGAGTGGATGGGTGAGTGGGTGAGTGAGTGGGTGGATGAGTGGGTGGATGAGTAAGTGGGTGGGTGAGTGGGTGAGTGGGTGGGTGGGTGAGTGAATGAGTGGGTGGGTGAGTGAGTGAGTAGGTGGGTGAGTGACTGAGTGGGTGGGTGAGTGGGTGAGTGGGTGACTGAGTGAGTGAGTGGGTGAGTGAGTGGGTGAGTGGGTGACTGAGTGAGTGAGTGGGTGGGTGAGTGAGTGAGTGAGCAGTCGGTGAGAGGCAAGTCTTGTCTATGATACGGCACATCCTGCCTATCACCTGGGGAGAGAGAGGGGGTGAGTGGGAAAGTGAGTGGGTGGGTGAGTGGGTGAGTGAGTGAGTGAGTGGGTGAGTGGGTGGGTGAGTGAGTGAGTGGGTGGGTGAGTGAGTGGGTGGGTTGAGTGGGTGGGTGAGTGGGTGGGTGAGTGGGTGGGTGAGTGGGTGGGTGAGTGGGTGAGTGGATGGGTGAGTGGGTGAGTGAGTGGATGGGTGAGTGGGTGAGTGAGTGGGTGGATGAGTGGGTGGATGAGTAAGTGGGTGGGTTGAGTGGGTGGGTGAGTGGGTGAGTGGGTGGGTGGGTGAGTGAATGAGTGGGTGGGTGAGTGAGTGAGTGGGTGACTGAGTGAGTGAGTGGGTGAGTGAGTGGGTGAGTGGGTGACTGAGTGAGTGAGTGGGTGGGTGGGTGAGTGAGTGAGTGAGCAGTCGGTGAGAGGCAAGTCTTGTCTATGATACGGCACATCCTGCCTATCACCTGGGGAGAGAGAGGGGGTGAGTGAGTGGGTGAGTGGGTGGGTGAGTGAATGAGTGGGTGGGTGGGTGAGTGGGTGAGTGAGTGACTGAGTGAGTGACTGAGTGGATAGTTGAGTGAGTGGCTGGGTGAGTGAGTGAATGAGTGGGTGAGTGAGTGGGTGGGTGAGTGAGTGAGTGACTGAGTGGGTGAGTGGGTGACTGAGTGAGTGACTGAGTGGATAGTTGAGTGAGTGGCTGGGTGAGTGAGTGAGTGAGTGGGTGAGTGAGTGGGTGGGTGAGTGGGTGAGTGACTGAGTGAGTGGGTGACTGAGTGAGTGACTGAGTGGATAGTTGAGTGAGTGGCTGGGTGAGTGAGTGAGTGAGTGGGTGAGTGAGTGGGTGGGTGGGTGAGTGAGTGAGTGACTGAGTGGGTGAGTGGGTGACTGAGTGAGTGACTGAGTGGATAGTTGAGTGAGTGGCTGGGCGAGCGAGAGGCACATCCTGCCTATAACTCACCCACCCGCTCACCAACTCCCCCACCCACCCGCCCGCCCACTCGCCCTCCTCACCACGGTTCCTCACCGCCCGCCGGGTCCTCACCTTGCTTGACACCAGCTTGACGTTGCCGGAGGCGAGCGCCACCGCTGTATCGGCCATCACCTCGGCCTTGACGGAACCCAGACCGCCCGTGGCGCTGGTTTTGATGAAGCTGTCCAGCACCACGTCCAGCAGGTCGGTGATCTGGGGGGCGGGGAGCGGAGGAGGGTGGAGCGTGCGGTGAGGACTCACCCGCACACACACTCACTCACTCGCACACTCACACACGCACTCACCCACGCACACACTCACCCACTCACACACACACTCACACGCACACTCACCCACACTCACTCACCCACACACTCACTCACCCACTCACACACACACTCACCCACGCACTCACTCACCCACGGACTCACTCACACGCACACTCGCACTCACACTCACACACACTCACACACACACTCACACACTCACTCACCCACGCACTCACTCACATGCTCACCCACGCACTCACTCACCCACGGACTCACTCACATGCACACTCGCACTCACACTCACACACACTCACACACGCACACACTCACTCGCACACACGCACACTCACACACTCACTCACTCACACACACTCACACGCACACTCACCCACACTCACTCACCCACACACTCACACGCACGCTCACTTACTCACACGCACACGCACACTCACACGCTCACTTACTCACCGACTCACACGCACACCCACACACTCACCCACACACTCACACACTTACACACTCACACACTCACACTCACACACTCACACTCACCCACACACTCACACGCACACTCACACGCACACTCACTCACCCACTCACACACCCACACACTCACTCTCACCCACCCACACACTCACACATTCACCCACACACTTACACACTCACACACTCACACACTCTCACACTCTCACTCACCCACATTAACACTCACTCTCACTCACCGACACACTCACACACTCACACACTCTCACACTCACCCACACACCCACACACTCACACACACACCCACCCACTCACACACTCACACATTCACAAACCCACCCACACACCCACACACTCACACACTCTCACTCACACACACACCCACTCACTCACCAACACACTCACCAACACACTCACCCACACACTCACCCACTCACTCACTCACCCACACACACACTCTCACTCACACACCCACCCACACACTCACCCACTCACCCACTCACCCACCCACTCACTCACTCACCCACTCACTCACCCACCCACTCACTCACTCACCCACACACCCACCCACTCACCCCACTCACTCACTCACCCACCCACTCACCCACACACCCACTCACCCACCCACACACTCACCCACCCACTCACCCACCCACACACTCACCCACCCACTCACCCACCCACTCACCCACCACCCCCGGTGTCAGGCTAGGTGTGCACCCACCTGCCCGAGACTGCCCCAGATCTTGGCCTGTATGGAAGGATACATCTGCTTCTCGTTGATGGTCATGGTGATGAGCTTGTCCAGGATGGCCGATACTCGCTGACGCTTCGCATCATCCGAGTGCTTGCAGAAGCGGACCAAGTTGGAGAGCCACGGGGTCATGTACTCCAGACACAGGTGCTTCAGTTCGATACCTGGACGGGGTGCGGCGAGAGAGAGACGCAGAGACACAGAGGCACAGGGACGCGGATACACACACACACACAGATACAGATACAGAGACACAAACACAGAGACACAGAGACATAGACACAGACACACAGTGACACAGACACACAGTGACACAGACACACAGACACAGAGACACACAGACACACAGACACACAGACAGAGACACAGACACACAGAGACACAGGGACACAAACAGAGACACAGACAGAGATACACACAGATACAGAGACACAGATACAGAGACACAAACACAGAGACACAGACACAGAGACACATAGACGCAGATACACACACAGAGATACAGACACACACACACACAGAGAGATACACACAGATAGATACGTACACAGAGAAATACAGACACAGAGAGATACAGACACAGAGACACACACAGAGACACACAGACACAGAGACACACAGACACACAGACACACAGACAGAGACACAGACACACAGGGACACAAACAGAGACACAGACAGAGATACACACAGATACAGAGACACAGATACAGAGACACAAACACAGAGATACACAGACACAGAGACACACACAGACACACAAATACAGAGACACAGGGATACACACGCACACACACACAGAGATACAGACACACACACACACATAGAGAGATACACACAGATAGATACGCACACAGAGAGATACAGAGACACAGCTACAGAGACACAGGGACACGGACACACACACACATACATAGAGAGATACACACAGAGAGATACAGACACAGAGACACACACACAGAGATACACAGACACAGAGACACACACAGACACACAAATACAGAGACACAGGGATACACACGCACACACACAGAGATACAGACACACACACACATAGAGAGATACACACAGATAGATACGCACACAGAGAGATACAGAGACACAGATACAGAGACACAGGGACACGGACACACACACACATACATAGAGAGATACACACAGAGAGATACAGACACAGAGACACACACACAGAGATACACAGACACAGAGACACACACAGACACACAAATACAGAGACACAGGGATACACACGCACACACACACAGAGATACAGACACACACACACACATAGAGAGATACACACAGATAGATACGCACACAGAGAGATGCAGACACAGAGAGATACAGACACAGATAGACACACACACACAGATACGCAGACACAGAGACACACAGACACAGAGACACAGGAACACAGATATACACACACACACAGAGATACAGACACACATCGAGAGATACACACAGATAGATATGCACACAGAGAGATACAGACACAGAGAGATACACACACATAGATACACACAGAGACATAGACACAGATACAGAGACACAAACACAGAGACACAGACACAGAGACACAGAGACATAGAGGCATAGACACAGACACACAGTGACACAGACACAGAGACACACACAGAGACACACAGACACACACAGACACACAGACACAGAGACACAGACACACAGAGGCACAGGGACGCGGATACACACACACAGAGATACAGAGACACAGGGACACGGATACACACACACACAGAGATACAGACACACACACACACACATAGAGAGATACACACAGATAGATACGCACACAGAGAGATACAGAGACACAGATACAGAGACACAGGGACACGGACACACACACACACACATACATAGAGAGATACACACAGAGAGATACAGACACAGAGACACACACACAGAGATACACAGACACAGAGACACACACAGACACAGAGACACAAATACAGAGACACAGGGATACACACGCACACACACACAGAGATACAGACACACACACACACATAGAGAGATACACACAGATAGATACGAACACAGAGAGATGCAGACACAGAGAGATACAGACACAGATAGACACATACACACACAGATACACAGACACAGAGACACACAGAGACACAGAGACACAGGGACACAGATATACACACACACAGAGATACAGACACACACATCGAGAGATACACACAGATAGATACGCACACAGAGAGATGCAGACACAGATAGATACAGACAGAGATACAGACACAGAGATACACACAGAGACAGACACAGATACAGAGACACAAACACAGAGACACAGATAGATACACACAGAGACAGACACAGATACAGAGACACAGATACACAAACACAGAGACAAAGACACAGAGACACAGACACATAGACACAGACACACAGACACACAGACACAGAGACAGAGACACACAGAGAGATACACACAGATACAGAGACACAAACACAGAGACACAGACACACAGATACACACACAGACACAGATACACACACACAGAGATACAGACACAGAGACACAAACACAGAGACTCAGACACAGAGACACAGAGACATAGACACAGACACACAGTGACACAGACACACACACAGAGATACACAGACACAGAGACACACAGACACAGAGACAGAGACACAGACACACAGAGACACAGGGACACGGATACACACACACACACAGATACAGACACACACACACATAGAGAGATACACACAGATAGATACGAACACAGAGAGATACAGACACAGAGAGATACAGACACAGATAGACACACACACACACACAGAAACACAGACACACAGACACACAGAGACACAGAGACACAGGGACACGGATACACACACACACAGAGATACAGACACACACACATCGAGAGATACACACAGATAGATACGCACACAGAGAGATGCAGACACAGATAGATACAAACACAGAGATACAGACACAGAGATACACACAGAGACATAGACACAGATACAGAGACACAAACACAGAGACATAGATACAGAGACACAGACACAGAGACACAGATAGATACACACAGAGACAGACACAGATGCAGAGACACAGATACAGAGACACAAACACAGAGACAAAGACACAGAGACACAGAGACATAGACACACAGACACACAGACAGAGAGACAGAGACACACAGAGAGATACACACAGATACAGAGACACAAACACAGAGACACAGAGACACAGATACACACACAGAGACACAGATACACACACAGAGATACAGACACAGATACAGAGACACAAACACAGAGACACAGACACAGAGACACAGAGACATAGACACAGACACACAGTGACACAGATACACACACAGATAGATACAGACACAGAGAGATGCAGACACAGAGAGATACAGAGATACACCCACACAGAGATACACACAGATACAGAGACACAGATACAGAGACACAAACACAGAGACACAGACACAGAGACACAGATAGATACACACAGAGACAGACACAGATACACAGACACAGAGACAGACACACAGACACAGAGACACAGATACAGATACAGATACACACACACACACACAGATACAGATACACACACAGATATAGACACAGACAGAGAGATACACACAGAGAGAAACACACACAGAGACACACACAGAGATACACACACAGAGATACACACACAGAGACATAGACACAGATACAGAGACACAGAGACACACAGACACAGAGACACACAGACACAGAGACACAGAGACACACACAGATACACACACAGAGACACACACACAGATACACACACAGAGACACACAGAGATACACACACAGAGACACACACAGAGACACACACAGAGATACACATACACAGAAACACAGACACAGAGATACACACAGAGACACAGACACAGAGACATACACAGAGACACACACACAGAGACACACACAGACATACAAAGACAAAGATACACACACAGAGACACACACACACACACGCATGCCACCCACGACTCACTGGACTTGCTGAACCCACCCACCCACTCACCCACCACTCCACCCACCACCACCACACAACCACCACACAAACACCACCACCCCCACCACCACCACCCCCACCACCACCACACAACCACACCCCCACCACCACCACCACCACCCACTGGACTTGCTGAACCCACCCACCCACTCCACCCACCACCACCACACCACCGCCACCACCCCCACACAACCACAACCACCACCACCCACTGGACTTGCTGAACCCCGAGATGCACTCCTCCAGGAACTCGAGCGTGAGGTGAGGCTCGTTGAGGGCCAGCGTCTTGCTGATGGACACGATGAAGAGGGTGTTGTTGGCCGGGATGCACAAGCCAGACGTCTCCAGCAGCTGACCCTCGATCTTCAGGTTGAACGTGCAGGTGAGGGCGCAGAGCAAGTTGTAGGCCGCAGAGCTGCCAACGGGGGGCGAGACGGGCCGAGTGGGTGGGTGGGCGGGCGGGCGCGGGGGGAGACGCGGGGGAGACGCGGGGAGACGCGGGGAGACGCGGGGAGACGCGGGGAGACGCGGGGAGACGCGGGGAGACGCGGGGAGACACGGGGAGAGACTGGGAGAGACTGAGAGACACAGAGAGAGACTGGGAGAGACAGGGAGACACTGGGAGAGACACTGGAAGACACTGAGAGACTGGGAGACACTGGGGGAGACTGGGAGACACTGGGAGAGACTGAGAGAGACTGGGAGAGACTGGGAGAGACTGGGAGACATTGGGAGAGACTGGGAGACACTGGGAGAGACAGAGAGAGACTGGGAGACACTGGGAGAGACTGGGAGAGACTGGGAGACACTGGGAGAGACTGGGAGAGACTGAGAGACACTGGGAGAGACAGGGAGAGACTGGGAGAGACTGGGAGACAGAGAGAGACTGGGAGACACTGGGAGAGACTGGGAGAGACTGAGAGACACTGGGAGACGCTGGGAGACACTGGGAGAGACTGGGAGAGACTGGGAGACACGGGGAGACGCTGGGAGACACTGGGAGACAGAGAGAGACTGGGAGACACTGGGAGAGACTGGGAGAGACTGAGAGACACTGGGAGAGACAGGGAGAGACTGGGAGACACTGGGAGAGACTGGGAGACATTGGGAGAGACTGGGAGACACTGGGAGAGACTGGGAGACACTGGGAGAGACTGGGAGAGACTGGGAGACACCGGGAGAGACTGGGAGAGACTGGGAGACACTGGGAGAGACAGGGAGACACGGGGGAGACTGGGAGACACTGGGGGAGACTGGGAGACACTGGGAGAGACAGGGAGAGACTGGGAGACACTGGGAGACACTGGGAGAGACTGGGAGAGACTGGGAGACAGAGAGAGACTGGGAAACACTGGGGGAGACTGGGAGACACTGGGAGAGACAGGGAGAGACTGGGAGACGCTGGGAGAGACTGGGAGACACTGGGAGAGACTGGGAGAGACTGGGAGACACCGGGAGAGACTGGGAGAGACTGGGAGACACTGGGAGAGACAGGGAGACACGGGGGAGACTGGGAGACACGGGGGGAGACTGGGAGACACTGGGAGAGACAGGGAGAGACTGGGAGAGACTGGGAGAGACTGGGAGACACTGGGAGAGACTGGGAGAGACTGGGAGACACTGGGAGAGACACTGGGAGAGACTGAGAGAGACTGGGAGACACGGGTAGACACTCGGAGACACTGGGAGAGACTGGGAGAGATTGGGAGAGACTGGGAGACACTGGGAGACACAGAGAGAGACTGGGAGACACTGAGAGACACTGGGAGACACAGAGAGAGACTGGGAGACACTGAGAGACACGGGTAGACACTCGGAGACACTGGGAGAGACTGGGAGAGATTGGGAGAGACTGGGAGACACTGGGAGACACAGAGAGAGACTGGGAGACACTGAGAGACACGGGTAGACACTCGGAGACACTGGGAGAGACTGGGAGAGACTGGGAGAGACTGGGAGAGACTGGGAGACACTGGGAGAGACTGGGAGAGACTGGGAGACACATAGAGAGACTGAGAGAGACTGGGAGAGACTGAAAGACACCGGGAGACACTGGGAGAGACTGAGAGAGACTGGGAGACACTGAGAGAGACTGGGAGAGACTGGGAGACACTGGGAGACACTGGGAGAGACTGGGAGACACTGGGAGAGACTGGGAGACACTGGGAGAGACTGGGAGAGACTGAGAGACACTGGGAGAGACAGGGAGAGACTGGGAGACACTGGGAGACACGGGGAGACACTGGGAGAGACTGGGAGACACTGGGAGACACTGGGAGAGACTGGGAGACACAGGGAGACGCGGGGAGACACTGGGAGATGCGAGGAGAGACTGGGAGACACTGGGAGAGACTGGGAGACACTGGGAGACACTGGGATAGACTGGAGACACTGGGAGACACTGGGAGACACTCGGAGACACTGGGAGAGACTGAGAGACACTGGGAGAGACTGAGAGAGACTGTGAGACACTGGGAGAGACTGGGAGACACCGGGAGAGACTGGGAGACACTGGGAGACACTGGGAGAGACTGGGAGACACTGGGAGACACTGGGAGACACTGCGAGACATGGGGAGATGCGGGGAGACGCGGGGAGACGCGGGGAGACGCGGGGAGACGCGGGGAGAGACTGGGAGACACTGGGAGAGACTGAGAGACACTGGGAGAGACTGAGAGAGACTGTGAGACACTGGGAGAGACTGGGAGACACTGGGAGACACTGGGAGAGACTGAGAGAGACTGTGAGACACTGGGAGAGACTGGGAGACACCGGGAGAGACTGGGAGACGCTGGGAGACGCTGGGAGACACTGGGAGAGACTGGGAGACACTGGGAGACACTGGGCGACACTGGGAGAGACTGGGAGACACGGGGAGACACTGGGAGAGACTGGGAGAGACTGGGAGAGACTGGGAGAGACTGCGAGAGACTGCGAGACACTGGGAAAGACTGGGAGACACTGGGAGAGACTGGGAGACACGGGGAGACGCGGGGGAGACGCGGGGAGACACTGGGAGACACTGGGAGACACTGGGAGAGACTGGGAGAGACGGGGAGAGACTGGGAGAGACAGGGAGAGACTGGGAGACACTGAGACACTGGGAGACACTGGGAGAGACTGGGAGACACTGGGAGACACTGGGAGAGACGGGGAGACACTGGGAGAGACTGGGAGACACTGGGAGAGACTGAGAGACAATGGGAGAGACTTGGAGACACTGGGAGACACGGGGAGACTCTGGGAGAGACTGGGAGACACTGGGAGAGACTGGGAGAGACTGAGAGACTAGGAGACACTGGGAGAGACAGGGAGAGACTGGGAGACACTGGGAGAGACTGGGAGACACTGCGAGACACTGTGAGAGACTGGGAGACACTGGGAGACACTGGGAGACACTGGGAGACACTGGGAGAGACTGGGAGAGACTGCGAGACACTGGAGAGACTGGGAGGAGGACTGG